TAAAACTATATCAAAGCTTATAAAAATAGCGAAACTATATCAAACACTTAGTAAAAATTTAGCGAAATTAAAGGTTTTACCGTTTTACCAAATCTAAAATGAGTTTAGACAAGCAACCTTAGCTAGAACGATTAAAAAAGTATGTATTCTTTTAGCTTTTGAAGCCTAGATTTTATACCAAAAAGAGTTTATTAACAGAATTTGAGCCACAATTACGTTGGAGGATTTAAAAAAAAAGGTAATATACAAAAAAATCTTGATTATTACTTATACTGTCAAATTTAATTTCTATAATAATATGAATAAATTATAATTACTGGATTTTTAATAAATAATAATTTGAAATACAAATTTAGTAATATTCAAAAAGACTTGAAATTTATCTTATAAGTCAATTCTTTCTTAAACTTCATTAATTTTGATTATATTTCAATTAAATATATTGTTACTTTAAAGTAAAATATCTAAAAAAAAAAAAAATTTTCAATATATATTTAGAAAGAAATGTGATAATCTATAATAGCTAACTATATGCATATATATTAAAAATCAAATCAAAGCATTTATAATATAAAAGAAAAGCATACAAAATATTATTTAATTTATTTAATTAATAAAAGTTATAATTATTAGGTTTATTTTAAAAAATTTTTATTTAAATTAATTATAAATAATATGTAAAAATATTATTTATTACTTTTGGTGAAGAATATTTATAATTTATTAAATTTTTAAACCTAAATATTTATAATTAATAGATTAAATATTTGAATTTTTTCTAGTGATATATGATACAGTAATTATAATTAAATATTAAATGACTTGCTCAACTAACAATTCTACTGAATTTTCTGGTATATTCTAAAGAACTGGGTATTGTTAATTCTAATATCTCTTTCCAATTTCTTTTTAAATAAATAGTGCCAGAAGGTATATCTTCGTCTAACAAATGACGTGTATTTGTTTTAATGTTTATATTTGAATAGTTTGATGATGGAGGTTCATCATCAAAACTTATCAGATCAAATTGTTCATTGATTGTGTATGTATTTGATTGTTCATATGATGTTGATGATGATTGAATTGAGAAAGAGGAATTTTCGTAAGATTGCCTTTGATAATGATTCATCGAAATCCAATTTAAATGTTTTATTATAACGCTGTTAGCAAAGGTGACTCTTTTACTATCAAAATCTTTTTTTGTTGGCACAAGATTAATTCTGTAATCCTTATTACTATATATAAATAAATTTTTTGTTAGAAAATTTGGATAAATCAAACCCTTCCCACAAAATAAATAACCTGTAACTTACTAGAATCGCCTCTTATTAATAGTCTGTTCAATTTTAGTAACATTTAAGATGCCTGCAAAGTCCTTTACATGGAAGGTCAGATAACCTTCGTTTCTGTTAATAGAAATTTGCAACGAAATTATCAATTCCTTCAACTTTTGATCGATTGGTATGCGAATTTGAGTTTTCACCAACAAACGAATGTCGGGAAAATATGAACCAGAAACTAGATCTAACAGTATGACTCGACGCATTAATTTAACAACTTTAGTTATCTTCCAAGTTTCTATTTATAAAAAGGAGTTAAATAAAAACAAATTATTTAAATTAAATTAAACAAGAAAACACCGACATAATAAAAAACATCTTTCATCAAATAATTACTTTTTTGATAATCCCAATTTAATTTCATTTTCTTTTCTTCACCATCATTAAAATAAATCGAAATACTACATTTATCTTTTTCGCTATTTCCAAAGTCCTCAACCTTTTCTTGAAATCCCGGATCAGCTTGAAGTATCCTTAATCCGTCTACGAGTGGTACATCATGTTGAAAAGATGTCTTGATACCTTTTGGGCCAAATCTTTTTAATTTACACCATTCTGATAAAGTAAATGATGATGGCTCAATCGGCGGTATATCAAAAAATAATTCTTGTCCAAGGCACAGAGAAACTCTTATTTCCATTCCAAGATCGCTTACTGGAAATAACTCGGAAAGGTACGATGTGATTTGCGTTATGCATTGAGGTAATTGGGAAAAAATACCGAACGGGTTTTGAGGAGTTAATATTAATGAGCTTGGTTTCCATTCAGATCGACTTTTGTCTAGTACTTTGTCACCTCTATGACCATTTTCGTAGTAATTATTCCTTTTTATACTCAATCTATTTTGATTAGATTTCAATTTATTAAATAACAAATCATAAACTTCCGCATTAGATGCTTCATTATAATCAGATTCAAATTCCTTTTGAAATGTCTTGTTGGTTTCTAAATTTAACTCGCTATATTCTTCGTTGTCAAACATAATATAAAACAATTCTTTCCCTTTTGAATGAGCATTATTATCCTTTAAATCATATCTCCTGAAATGAATTGTTGGTGCATATCTTGAATAAATAACTTTATCCGCAACACCAAAAGCATCAAGGATGGTAAAACCAAGTTCAGGATATACACCAGGTCTTGGTTTGTTTGCTTCATCTTCAAGATAAACTTCTATTCTTGATTTTGCAACTTCACATTGACCATATGTTCCATTGATGGTTATTTTTGTACCATCATCATCAATTCTAATTTTGGCACCTGTATCTTCCCTTAATAAATTAGAGTCAGAATTTGAAGTGCATCAATTTCATAATATTTAATATATAAAAATGTAAGCAAACGCGTTATCATTAAAATGTGTACAAAACAAAGAAATATGAAAAACCAATATTAGATTATTTACTCGATTTTTTTTATATTTTTATATTTTCTGTCGAATATAAACTCGGATTTTTCTTCAGAAATTTTGAAAGTAAGTATAGTTTTTTGAGATGCAAACATTATTTTCGAGGCGCAACACGTATGTATGGAATGGCAGTGTCAAAGTTTGTTCTCCCGTCTCAAAAAAAAACCAAATAAAAAAAAACAAATAAAATAAAACCGGTAAATTTTTGGAAGAAATTTATTTTTTATTGACATTAAATATCTTTTATACTTGTTCCGAATCAAGTTTTTTAAAACCATCAATTCCTTCTTTGTGCTGAGCACATATTAAGAAATAACGATAAGAAGCGCCATTAAGCCTAATATATTTTGAGTGGTGAGCACTGCGCCTACTGCGCCTACGCAATTTAATATCTCCGATCATCAATTTACGTCACTAACTAAAAAAAAAAGGATTAAAAAATTTCTTTTCCATCCATCCATCAAATCTTTTGTTGAATTATATAAACTTCAAAGATGGTTAAATTCTTGAAACCAGGAAAGGTGGCAATCGTTTTATCCGGTAGATATGCTGGAAAAAAAGTAGTAATTGTTAAAGTTTACGATGATGGCACTAAAGAACGTCAATATGGCCATGCCATCGTCGTCGGTATTGAAAGATACCCATTAAAGGTCACTAAGAAAATGGGACCTAAACGTATTAATAAAAGGACAAAAGTCAAGCCTTTCATCAAGATCATAAACTATAATCATTTGATGCCGACTCGTTATACTTATGAATTGGAAGACATTAAACAAACGGTCACCTCGGAATGTTTCAAGGAACCTTCTCAACGTGAAACCGCGAAGAAGTCCGTAAAAAAAGCATTACAAGAAAGACATAGATCTGGAAAGAACAAATGGTTCTTTACTAAACTCAGATTTTAATTTTGGTGGAGAAAGGGGAGAGAGATCTAGTGTCTTGTGGGAATTAGAAAAAAGATTGAGATATGTAAAAGAACATCATGTATTTGTTATTTCTTAGGAAATTTTTTTTTATAATAATAATTCCAAAACGTTTATATTTGTTCATCAATCATTCATTCTTTTTTATTCTCCGACTTTTCTCTTTTCTTATGATTTAAAAGCTTTGTGATATCATAATTAAAAACGGGAATTTTTCTTTATGGGCTTCTTTTTTTTATTTCCCAATTTATATGTCAGAATGCATTTGGAACAAGAAACGTGTATGATTTTATGCTTATAATGTCTTTGAAATTGCATAAAGTATTAAAATTTTAATTTATTTATGAATGGCATGCGGATTTCTCTTGAGTTTAATAGATATTGATTCGAACAAACATACTTTCCTTTATTTTGTCCATAATATTATAATATATTAATCACCCCAAACTGAATTAAATTCACTAACATCCTTCCACGGCTCAAAAGTTTGCTTATTTTGACATGAACCTGCAGAGGCATTACCTTCTGGTTCGAAATTTTGATCCGCTGAGGCATTTCTTTCGGGACTTTTATCATTTAAGTCATCTACCTTCAAAGGTTTATCTTCTACATATGTTAATTTAAATTCCTCATAACCATCTTCTAATTCCTTTAACCAATCAGGATGTAATAAAAGTGTGTTCCATTTTTCGCCCGACATCAAAGCTCCTTTGCGATTTAATTCATTTAGTTTATTCATGACAACTTCTCGATTTTTCCGATTCAAAGAAGTAATTTTGCCATTATTCACAATAATTTTTGCCAAAGAATCTTTCTTGATGGCTTTCCAACAATATGATGATATTTCTACCATAAACTCACTATCCTGTAATGAAAGGCCTTTCAACTCAAAAAATTTCTTGCCATATACTTTAAGCATTGTGTCAATTGAAACCCCGGGAAGACGAATCTTGAAGTCATAATCCGTTGGAAAATTTCCTTTTTCAGTTTGTTCATCTGAATTTGAATCAGAACTATCATCTATCACTTTAATCAATCGTCCATCTTCGACTAGTCGATCGATAACACCAAGCACCGCTTCACGACGAACATCTGTTTTCGGTTTTGTTGTAATCCAACGTTGATACCTATTTTCAATAAAGTTTATAACCGTCTTTATTCCTAGATCCTTTTTTTTTTTTTAAAAAAAAAACAAGTTAAAATAATTGAATCATGGTTGTTTACATAATATAGATATAACTTAGCAAATTTAATAATACAAGTTCTTACTTTGCCTTTCTGATGTCCTTCTAATAATAATAGATAAATCTCATTGTCTTCTTCTCTTACACTTAATGAATGAAGCTTCTCATAATTAAGATAAACATCGTTCATCCTATCTATTAAAAGATTCTCATACACTTGAATTCCGGCAAAAGCATCAGATGATGTATAACGTATTATTTCCGAATCCAACTTCGCTGCATCAAAGTTCCATTTCAATATCTTTTTGGTTTTCTCCAATACTAATCCAGCGTCACCAAACATTCTAGTTAATTCCGCTAATGATCTCGCTGCATATCCTTTTTCTTGAGCGATCCTCTCAAGATCAATTACCCCTTGCATTTCAAAGCCGTAGGATTTTTTTATCCAACCCGCATCACCTGACGCATTTACTCCAACTTTTTTAATATCTTGATTTGTTAAAATTCGTTTAAGTAAATGCGGAAACTTGTCGGCGCTTCCATTAGTAATTTTATATACTTGAAATAGGAAACATAATTCTCTCGTGGCTATCTGAATCATTGAAACAACTTGGGGATTATGTCGCCTGTAAACTGTAGTTTCCGTATCAAAACCAACATGTCCCGTATGCCAATTAGGATAACTTTCGAGAATACTAAGACAACGATTCGCTAAAATATTAGCCGAGAAGTCGTTAATATTTTTAGCAACACAAGTAAAGTAATAACTATTTGGAAATATCACGAACCTGTAAAAGCATTTGCAATTTGATACACAGGTGGGTTGAACTGAACTTTTGGGATTTCGTTTTCGTCTAAACAGACAATTAACGATTGTGGTTTTGGCGGTTTTGGTGACTTTTGACGTGATGTGGAAACAGCTGTTGAATGTGATTGTATGTGGCCATACATTTTCGTTATGTTTGAAGGATCGGAATTATTTAAAAAATTATAAAGCAAGCGTACTCTATGATGGTACATTATTAAATTAAGGCTTTTAACGGATTTAGCTTTTTGATGCTTGTTTTTATCCAGCTGTTATACAATAGTTACATCGTACAACAGTGTCGATAATATATAGATTTTTTTTCTCCGCAGATGACTGGAATTTTTTGTTTGAATAGTTAATATAATTTACACACATTAAGGGATAATGAAAACCAATAAATGCAAAGATAAAAACCACAGTTGCGGATAATCTTTAATTTTAACTATTTCGAATAATCTTCTTTTAATGATGAATAACCGCCAGATCTTCCAATTGATTTTCCCTTACGAATGTAAAACGATCTACAAAATTGTAAACTGCGTAATCTTGTGACACATCAAAACGCCATCAATAAAAATATGATATTGTTCCGAATCTTTTTTTTATCAACATCATCCAAAAAACAAAAACAGTTCCTCAACGATTATTTCTTTTTTCTTTGTTTCTAAACTTAATAAAGGTCCCTTATCCTAACACTCCTTAAATTCAAACTCATATTTTCTCTCCAAGTTTCAAGAACAAAACATGTCCTTTAACGATTTGGAAAGAGGATCTGGTCCCTCCAGCGGTCGAAATGGAAGAAATTATGGTGGAGTTTCGATGGTTTCAGGTGGTAAGTAGTGATATCAATTTTTTTATTAACTTTGTCCATCATTTAATTACTTTCCTTTTTTTTTTTTTGTCCAGGGTTTGAAGTTTTCTGTAAAGAAATGCTACGCTGAAATGTTAAATTTAGAGTTATTCAAATTATTATCTTGTTCCCCCTTTTTTAGGCAATGATGCGCAGTATAATACCCTAAGCAAAAGTATATCCCAACAGGTATTTAATATTACGAGTAATGTTGCCAATATACAGAGGCTTGTTTCGTATCTAGGAACAGCAAAAGATACACCAGAAGTAAGAACAAAATTGTAAGTTTTGCAACTTTTACATTTTACGTTTGCTGAAGTCAAATACTTCTAATTGTTACTAATTTACTCAATATATAGACATACATTAACCGAGAAAACGCGTGAATTAGTAAAAGTAACAAGTAATGAAATTAAACAACTATCTCATTTTCAAGGTACAAGTGGACAAAATGTAAGTTTTCTGAAATATTTACTTGATCATTCTTATCGACGAATTAATAAAGATTTTTTTTTTATTTTAGCGTAAACTAGAACAGCAAAAACTCTCCAAGGACTTTCAAAAGACATTAGTAGAATTTCAAAAAGTTCAGAGGATTTCTGCAGAAAAACAACGAGAATATGTTGATAAAGCGAAAGCTCTCAATGTCCGAAATGACATTTAGTAAGTTTTAATTGGACGATCACTAAACAATATTAAATATAAATTTTAAGGATAATGATTTATATCTCGATGTTTTTTTAGTGAGGAAGATTCCGGTGTTGAAGAGCAACCTCTTATTGATGACAGTAATCGAAGACTTCAGCTTAAAGTCTTGGACAATGAAATTGAATATAATGAATCTTTGATTGCCGAGCGTGAGGGTGAGATTAGAGAAATTGAACAAGGAATCAATGAATTGAACGAAATATTTAGGGATTTGGGAACTTTGGTAACGGAACAACAATCTATGTTAGGTAAAGTAATTTTTAATTTCAAATTTATGTTTTTCCCCACAATTTACTAAATTTACAAATTTTACATTGAAAGACAACATCGAAAGTAATGTAACAAACATTGCTGTTAATGTCCGAAGTGCAGCTGATGAATTGACTATTGCGAGCCGTCATCAAAGGAAAGCTCGTAACCGCATGTGTTGCTTGTTGCTTATTTTTGCAGTTGTTGGAGGGGTAGTGATATTGGCTGCCTTAACTTAAACTAAGGCTGTAAGTTAAAATCTCCTTTTTATCAAAAGGAGGGTGAGTGAACATTTCAGAACTTTTAATAGCCATTTTCATTTATTTATCCAATCCCCATTATATTATCTTCAAAAGTTATGGGACTATATATATATTATATAAAAAGGACTATTTAATATTCCCATACTTAGACTTCCTATAATGTCATTTTTTCTTTTTCGATTTTGTAATTAAATACAATTACATCATGTTTGAATTCTTATTTGTATGTTACATAATTGTATTTTTAATATTAAAAGGTTTTAAATATATAATAATCAAGTTAATAATTATTAGTTTATATAACCATTAATAAAAGCAAATTTAAGCTGTACCTTCTTTATTATTACGATGTGTGCGTCGAAACTTATAGCGGTTTTTTAAAAAAGGACGCTTACAACTTTGTTATAATATTAGAAATTACAATAATGAATTACGTGTATCGTGTTAAATATTTTATTGAACAGTTTAAATTGTTGGCACAATTAACCTCTATTGAATAATTAATGTTCATGTTCGACAATTTAAAGTATAAAAAAATTTTACTTGAAAAGTTACTTAGTACTATAGGCATTTTCAAACCAATTAAATCAGCATTCCAAAATCATAATATTAGAACTAGCCAATAACTTCTAGTATCCACTTTATAATATAATGATGTATATTTATCAACCAAATCTTTCTAACCTACATGAACTAATATATGCAATATTTAATTTAAAAATTATCATATAAAAAAATCCTTAAAATTTCGAATTAATTCACTTCACGTGACACTAGTCCAATCAAATACGTCAAAATAATCCTCGTTTTTACAAAAATCAAATTCTCGTATTTTACAAAATTCAAATACATAAAAATGAAATTTATAAAAATTGTTATTTTACCAGAAGAATCGATTGTGATTCTCAAGTATTGTGATCTTCACATTAAATAAAGTTTTAATCTCCTTAAAAATACAACTATAACTATATATGGTAATAACTATGTATCTGTTAGTAAATTAGTAGTAATTAAATTATTGTACTTTTTTTTTTATATATAAACAGTCTAAAAAAGATTTTTAAGTTTTAAAAAAAATTGGATTTTCGTGACAGACTAGAACCAAAGACCTATATACAAAAAATATATAAAAAGTTTTTCTATTTTACATTGAATCCAGTGCTCTACTGCACGTTTTATCGAGATCATCCATTGCTAGGCCTTAAATTTATCGTTTCTGGCCTTTTTTTTTCAAGATATTCAGCTTCAACAACAATGAAAATAAACAAGAAAAAGTTAGTTGAAACATGCAAAACCATTATTTCATCAGCTGATTTAGAGTAAGTAACTCACAAAATAATAAGTACTACCATATAATATACACATATATTCCTGTCAAAAATAAAAAGACCTACAAAATAACAATACACGGACATTTTGCTATGTTAAACACCGAAATTTTAGTATTATAACGGAAAAAAATGTCCGACGTCAAATTGAAGATAAACTTGGTTTGGAGAACAAAACCCTGGACAATGAACCTTGGAAAGCTTTTATCAAAGAAATCGTAAATAAAACAATAGTAGGTGAAATTTTAAAATGCAGATATTTTGTTAATTATTTCTAAAATATTAATTGATCATGCGACCTTAAGCAGATAAAGAAACGCATCAATTCATTAGATGAGAATAAAGAACCTATCAGTAAAAAAATGGCCAAAGAGAAGGTTGTAGAAAAGGTGGTGGAAGAGGGGCAACCTCGTCGCAAAATCGGCGTTGTTGAGGATGGAGGGACAATGATGGCTCTTGAGAATCTTCTAGATACCGCTGAATCATCTGATACTATCAAAGAAGAAGATGATGATGAATCGAAAAAGACATCGGAGTCAGCTGGAGACGATAGTGCATCTCATAATAATCCAGAGTCGACAGGTGAAGCTGAAAAAGAATCAAACAGTTCAGCATCTCAAAAAAGAACAATAGATGCTGTTGAGGACGAGGACGACGATGATCTGAGCTCACTTGAGGATGAGCCGCTAAAGAAGAAACGCAAGACTGGTAAAACCGTTGGTAAATCCGCTGTTAAAACCGTTGTTAAGACGGTAAATAATAGAACAGCGGTAAATAAGATACAATATATGATTAAATATACTTTGATTTAATCGTATATTGAAGTTTTATTATTTTTATTCATAGAACATTGAAAAGGATGACAAAACAATCAAAAATCTCAAATCATTAATTAATAAATGTGGTGTACGTAAAATTTGGTATGAAAAATTTTCTTTGATCATTATCTCTATTGTATTACATCATATTTTTTTGCAGGAATTAATATGATTGAACTTTTAGGGCAAAAGAGTTGACGGATTGTAAGACGAACTCTAGTAAAATCCGCAAATTGAAACAAATGCTTGTAGATTTGGGAGTTGAAGGTAATTTTAATATGTTTAAAGTTTAATTCTTTAGTTAAATATCAAAATTAACCGAATTAATTAGGGCGCCCGACACTCGAGAAGTGCAAGAAGGTTAAAAAACGCAGAGAACTCGAAGCCGAGCTAAAAGCCATGAGTGCTGAAAACATCATCTCTGATGATGTTAAAGAAACCCGGAAAGCGCGCGCATCTAGAGGCATTATTAATGCTGCACATCGTCGAGTTTCTCGTGCTACCCGGTCTTTATCAGTATGTAACATATTATTTACTTTCTGTGATATGTTTTCAATATTATATCGAACCCATCATTATCAATAATTTATAGGAAAGCGATGACGATGCCTCAATAGACAAAGATTCAGATGTCAATGGTTCAGATGATAGAAATTCAGATGAAAGTGATTCAGATGACAAAGACAAAAATTCGGAGGAAAGAGGTACGGATATAGATTCAGATGATAAAAATTTAGGTTCCGAGTGAAGTTATTACGAAATAAAGGATGTTATTATAGATATGAACGAATTATTTTTTTTTTAGCTAGTATTTGTACAAGATTGATTAAAAGTTTCGCATAATCTTTATATGTAAATATTTGGCACGCTTTCATTTTGCTTATTTTTTTTTTTTTTCCTTTCTTTTTCTTTTTCCATTTGTAAGAGTTTCGAGATTTTATTCAAAATATAATCAAGCTTTTACATGAACTAGAACATCAAAAAAAAAGAATGAGTAAATTAGCTCGGATCAAATTTGGCAAAAAAAAATTTTAATTTTACCAAATGTTTTCAGTGGTTAAGTGTTTTCATTCTGTTTCTGTTGGCTAACATCGTAATAGCCATACAAGAAATAACAAAGCCTACAAACTTAAAAAAAGCCGAGCGAGATATTTGTCTTTCTTCTTCTGGTGTTCGAAAGGAAGAAAAAATCCGTCGTAAATTTGGAAACGCCATAAGTCAACTTTATCGTTTTTTTTTTGTTTGAATTTGAATGAATTTTTGTACGACACATACAGCCAATTAAAAAGTTTTAAAATTTTCAAAAATGACAATAAATTGTTGCATGCAATGAAAGATAAATTAAGGAAGTTGAGAAGAGAAAAGAAATTGGCCGAGGTGGAAGAGAAATTGGTGGGAAGGAAATTTAGCAAAGAAGAAAAGGTTATTTTGGAAAGACAGAGAAATAAATCCGAAGAAAAGTTGAATGGGTTGAAAGAAAGTAAGAAGAGGTGGGAGGAGGAAGCGCTGGAATGGGGTGAGTTATTAAGGAAAGAATTAGAACAATTTGCGTAAATAAATATACAAAAAATTATTTTTCGTTTATTCCATTTCGTTGGTGCTGTTTACAACCTTAACCAACTTGTTTACAACTTTAACTGATTTGAGCTTTTTTTCACGTTTATTTTTCCATTCTCTATATTCCAACATTTACACTTTATTAGGTGAGAGTAATAATATTGAAAAGCACTATATTATTGCATCAATTATTTTTATTTTTTTTTTTACTTATCATATTTTCTTACCTATTGAATAAATTTTTTCATTACAAATTATCATCTATTATTATTATTAGTTTCACAAACTTATCAAAAAAAGATGTGAGCTCCCAATTAATAATTGATATTATTAAGAAAAGACCTAAGCCAAATTACCTTCTGTCAATAAACTTGCTAATTTTCTTGATCAACCTATTCCTGAAACTTTGAAATTATCACTTTCTCAAGACCTTTTATTAGTTTTGAATATCCAAGTTCATATACGAAAAATGATCTGAACATTATCTTCAGAATTAGTGAAGAACAAACGTCCTTCTTTTTACTCAATCAGTTGGTTGGTCAGATAATTACAAAAAATGCCTCTCCATCTAATTCAACAGATAACACCTATTATTTATTTTGTGATTTAAATCCTCTTGAACTTCTAATTCTGGATGGTATATCTGTTTGAAATACTTCTCAGCATATGAGTATTGCTAATAAATAACCTGATTATGGATTTATTGTTGATCAAATTTGTATATTTAGAGGAGAAGAAAAATCAGAAATGAACAATAAAGATTCAAAAGCAGAACTTAGAGATAAATTGATTTGGGTATATTGTTATACAAGTCGATTATGAAGTCTACTGACTGAAAAATAGATTTCAACACGTATAGCTAATGATTTAACTTAATAACTTTAAGAACTTGTTCACGTTAATAAAACTATTGAATTAATAATATATCAATTTATAAGTACAGAGAATGTTGAGTATATATAAATATAAATTAGAAATATGTAAATATGATGGGAGAGCAATAATGATGGATTGGATTTTAGGTTACGAGTTTAATAAATCAATGTTATAGGGATAATGTTTGGTTTATTAATAAAATATAAGTGGATCAATACGATTCAATAAACTAAATAAGCTCT